GTCTCCACTTGTCCCGAGAAGGAACCAGGCTGCTGGCGCTTAAAATCAAAAAGGTGGCAGAGCAGTTTCTAAACTGAATATTGGGGGAAAGCCGACAGGAGATGAAAAGTCTCTGGTTCGGGATGGCTCATCTCGGAGAAATGAAGGGGTAGCTGATAGTTTTCTACGAGGACATGGATTAGAATTGTCCACTGAGACTGTGGCCCCTGGTATTTTTTGGCCACTGTGTGACACAGAGTATGGGACGAGATGGGCCACTGGCCTGATCTAACATTCGCTTCTCTTATGTTCTTATATGGGGGGGACAACAGTGGGAGGGCTTCTGGTGTCCTGGCCCCACTGCTGGACCTCCTGAGGGCCCCTGGTATTTTTGGCCACTGTGTGACACAGAGTGTTGGACTGGATGGGCCACTGGCCTGATCCAACATTCGCTTCTCTTATGTTCTTACGACCTTCAAGGGGTGCTGCAAGGCCCGCCTGTTCACCAGGTCTTTTGAGGGGAGCTGAATTTATTTACTTATCAGATTTCTAACCCGCCCTCCCAGCCAAGGCCAACTCAGGGCGGCTTACATAAGACCATCACACGGAACGACAATAAAACTGTTAAAAACAATGCTAAAACCACTAACCATCTGCACTAATAAGTGCTAGTGTATTGTCATTCAATTGAATGCTGGCTGCAGTAGTTAAGTCAGGTAGTTTATTCGGTATAAAACCAGCACAAATCAATTATAATCAATTATTCGGGATAAAACCGGCAAAAATTAATTACAATTACCTCAATAAAATGTCAACACAAAGAAAGGTACTAATAAAATATATAAAATATCAAATGCTTAAATATAAACTGAATGATGGCTACAGTACTCAGTTCTTTCTCCACACACCCAGCTCCGAGGCGGCTTCGGTGTCTTTCAGGCGATTATCTCAAGCTGTTCTTAGAATCACAGAATCGTAGAATGTTAGAGTTGGAAGGGACCTTGAAGGTCATCTAGTCCAACCCCCTGCACCCTAGGAGCATAGCCGAAAGAGAACCCTACATACCTACAACATACCCAAAAGATGGTCGTCCAGCCTCTGCTTGAAAACGGCCAGCGAAGGAGCATCCACCCCCTCCCGAGGCAGACTGTTCCATTGCTCAACCACTCCAGTTAGGATGTTTCTCCTGATATTTAGCCGGTAACGACTCCCTTGTAATTCCCACCCATTTAATCGAGTCTTGCAATCTGGAGCAAGAGAGAATAGATCTGCTCCACCTTCTACATGACAGCCCTTCAGATACTTGAAGACTGCAATCATGTCCCCTCTAAGCCTTCTCTTTCCCAGGCTAAACGGACCCAACTCTTTCAGCCTTTCCTCGTAAGACTTGGATCCCAACCCTCTCGCCATCCTGGTTGCCCTCTTCTGGACACGCTCGAGCGTGTTCTTAACAATACCATGGGCAGCAGGGCTCCCTAAGTTATTAGTTATCAATGATGTTTAACGGTGGTGGCAGCTCTAAAGGCCTGGCGGAAGAGCTCCGTCTTGCAGGCCCTGCGGAACTGCAAAAGGTTCTGCAGGGCCCTGACCTCTTCTGGGAGCTCATTCCACCAGAACGGAGCCGCCACCGAGAAGGCCCTATATCTGGTTGTCGCCAGCCTGGCATCCTTAAGACTCAGGAGGGCCAGTCGTTTCTGGGCCCGTGACCGCAGTGCTCTCTGGGGAACGTGTGAGGAAAGGCGATCCCTGAGGTATGCAGGCCCCTGACCATAAAGGGCTTTAGAGGTAAGGACCAGCACCTTGAAACAAATTCAGGATGCTATCAGCAGCCAGTGCAATGCCTTTAGCACAGGCTGGATGTGCTCCCGAATTGAGACTCCCATCAACAACACAGCTGCAGCATTTTGCGCCTGCTGCCGCTTGCAGAGAGATTGGATTTATGCCCTGTGCCCTTCACTCGGCTTCTCAAAGCGGCTTACAATCTCCTCTCCCTTCCCCTCCCCACCACAGACACCCCTGTGAGGTCGGTGGGCCTGTGAGAGGACAGCTCTGAGAGAACTGGGACTGACCCAGGGCCATCCAGCAGCTGCATGCGGAGGAGTGGGAAATTGTTGGGTATTACAAGTTCAAAACACTCAGTATATCTGGGGTTAAATGTTTGTTTATGTTACTCACAGGAAGTCACATGTCTCTCATCTAACCAATGTTCTTTAGATGTAGAATGCCCGGGAATTTTCTCCCTGATCTAGGAATTTGATTGGGACTAGAGTGTCAAGGTGTATTAGCATTTTATGGCTCTCTTCCCGTCTTTGTTTTTGGTGTTCTGAAGAAGAAGAGTAGCCATAATCTTTCTCTTCTAGTTTTGTCTTTGTAGAGTAAGGATGTAGCCGATTATGCTCTGTTGTTATTTTCATCCCAGTTACCCTTCCCCATGCTAGAATTTAGTAAAAACTTTATATTTTAATCACACGTGGACTCTCAGTCTGAATTATTTTACTCTGGCTCTGCTGGACTATTTTATCTCTGCTAAATACCATTTTTTCAATATCGCACTATCACCCAACAGAAATCAAACCCGATTCCCCCAGATTGAAGTCTAAATGCGTAATATCATTTAAAAGTGTGATAGCTTCTTTGCAACCAGCTACAAAGACAGCACACGAGCTTTCAAGCTTGGAAACGGAGAGACCCACCTGACTCGGGCCTGGCCACCCGAGACAACACTGACCGATGGACACCCCCCCCCCCAACCAATGTCTCTGGTCAGGTATAAGTTGGGGGGGGGAGTTCAGCTCACTGTAACGCCCCAGTCCTCCCCCAAACACCAAAAACTCTCTACCTGTGTACTCCCATTTGAGCCGCCTCATTCTGAACTGCCACATGCCGTTCTGCTGAGAGCCTCTCTTCATTCTGGGGGGGTACTGCTTCCGCTCTTCTTTCTTATTAAGCCTAATGATCTCATCTGTAAAACAAAAGACAGTGTTGATGCATTAAATACGGGCATCCTTGGGAGAAGGAGTTGGAACTAGAGAAGAAGAGAATGGATTTACACCCCGCCGTTCACTACCGGAAGGAGTCTCAGAGCGGCTTACAAACTCCTTCCCCTTCCCCTCCCCACAACTGACACCCTGGGAGGTAGGCGAGGCCGAGAGGGCTCTTTCGAGGACTGCTCCTGAGAAAACTTGTGACTGACCCAAGGTCACAGCAGCAGCTGCATGCGGAGGAGTGGGGAATCAAACCCAGTTCTCCCAGGTTAGAGTCCACGCTCCTAACCACTACACCAAGCTAAAGAGAGAAAAAAAAGAGAAGAAGAAGAGATTGGATTTATACCCCACCCTTCACTTGGAGTCTCAGAGCCGCTTACAAACTCCTTGCCCTTCCCCTCCCCACAACGGACACCCTGTGAGGGAGGCGGGGCTGAGAGAGCTCTGACAGAAACTGGTCTTTCAAGAACAGCTCTGAGAGAACTATGGCTTGCCCAAGGTCATCCAGCAGCTGCAAGTGCAGGAGTGGGGAATCAAACCCGGTTCTCCCAGATTAGAGTCCACACACTTCACCTCTACACCAAACTGGCCATAGATAGCCCCATTGTTCACAAATTTGCCCACTCCCCTTTTAAAGCCTTCCAAGCTGGGGGCCATCCCCACATCCAGTAGCAGCAACTTAACACGCTTTTATTATGCGCTGTGTGAAGAAATACTTCCTTCTGTCTGTCCTGAATCTCCCATTCTTTAGGTTCTGTGGATGACCCCCTGTTGTATTATGAGACAGGGAGAAAGGCGTCTCCCTGTCCACTCTCTCCACACTGTGCACAGTTTTATAGACACCACACTCTTCCTTCCCCACCCACTGGCAAAATTTCAGCCAAACTTACTCCTCGCTGATCATGCTACGAGTCTGCCTTCCAGTTAGTCAGCCCACTGGTCCTTCAGGCCCAGCCTATTTATCTAGTACCTTTTTACCCTTTTCTCTCTCCAAGGGCATAAAGAGTGGCATACATGATTCTCCCCTCTTTACAAGAGACCTGTGAGGAAGGTGAGGCTCAGAGAGCACGCAACTGGCCCAAGGTCACCCGGTGAGCTTCATGGCAGAGTGAGGACTTGAACCCAGGACACTCAGACCCGTGCAAAAGGATAAACGAACATAAACCCAATACTAAAAATCCCAGTGTTCAGAAACCAGTGGGTCAACATCCAAGTTCTTTAGCTTGGAGAAACGACGATTGAGGGGTGACATGATCGAGGCTTATAAGATTATGCATGGGATAGAGCAGGTAGGAGGAAAGAAGTACTTTTCTCCCTTTCTCACAAGACAAGAACTCGTGGGGACTCCATGAAACTGCTGAGCGGTCGGGTTAGAATGGATAAAAGGAAGTCCTTCTTCACCCAAAGAGTGAGAAAGGGAGAAAAGTACTTCTTTCTCCACCTGCTCTGTCCCATGCTTAATCTTATAAACCTCCATCGGGTCACCCCTCAGCCATCGTTCCTCCAAGCTAAGGAGCCCCAAGCGCTTTAACCTTTCTTCACAGGGAAAGTGTTCCATCCCTTTTATCATTCTAGTTGCCCCCTTCTGCACTTTTCCCAAAGCTATAATAAACTTTTTAACGTGTGGTGACCAATGTTCCCTCTAAGCTGTGGAGTTTTGTGAGCAAAAATTTCGCTTTATGAGCTACTGGCATTAAAGTTCTGAGCGAGCGACTTGTCTGCTGCATAAATTAGTTTGCCCTGGAGCCCCATCCTTCCTGAGCAAAGACAGAAATGTGTGAGCCGGAGGCTAAAAAACTGTGAGCTAGCTCACACTAACTCAGCTTAGAGGGAACACTGGTGGTGACCAGAACTGCACACAGTACTCCAAACGAGGTCACACCATGGATTTATACAGGGCCATGATGATACTGGCCCTGTATTTGTTTTCAGTTCCCTTCCTAATAATCATTACCAATTGTTTATTTGACAAGGAACACAGAGCTCTTCTCTGCTAATTGTCAAGGACCCTTCCCTGTATAAGCAACGGGCCGGTCCTAGATAAGAGGTGTGGATCACTCAACAGCCTTCGGCCTCAATCGGCCTCCTTTGGTGCCTCCTATCACCACATGGGTAGAAACCCCAAAGGATGCGAGGCCCATCTCTTTCTTGTGACACTGGATTGGAAAATCATAAATTCTTTCACCAGAGATATAGCAGGGAGAAGATCTAAAGATGCACAAACGCTTTCATTTTTTAACTTGTACTCCTTTTCCTCTAAATCTTCAGTTGGCACTCTTTTCAAGGCCTATTCCCACGGCAGGGCAGCCGCTTCAACCAGAGGTTCTGATAAGCAAGGAATGTATACAGACTCAGCCCCCCCCCCCAAGATGGCTCTATTGTCAGCCTGTGGCTAAGACCAGTGAAAGGGAGTAAGCTGCTAACCTTTAGACAAACATAGTGGAAGCAAACTATAGCGACTTGTAACATATTAAAAGCAAATTATGG